TTGCTGAGACTCAGGATCTGTTTTTTGTTTTCTATATTCCACAAATGAGTGAAATCATATGGTATTTGTCTTTTCTTCTGCTGATTATTAAAAAATCTAAGGTCCATTCATGTTTTCACAACCAAGATTTCATTTTTTTAAAAAAATTAAGTATTCCATTGTGTGTGTGTGTATACACACCACATTTTATTCATTCATCTGTCATTGGTGCTTGGGTTGTTTCCATATATTGGCTATTGTGAATAGTGCTACAGTGAGCACATGTCTTTTTGAGTTAGTGTTTTCATATTCTTCAGGTGAATACCCAGAAGAGGGATTACTGATTCTTATGGTATTTCTATTTTTAATTTTTTGAGGAACCTCTATGCTGTTTTCCATAGTAATTACACCAATTTATATCCCCAACCAACAGTGACTCAGCAGTCCTTTTTCTCACCAACATTTATTGACTTTTTTTAAGATTTATTTTTTATTATGACTACAAGCATTGGGGCATAGGCCAGAGGTGTGGGGGGTGAGAGGATTCACCAGAGACAGAGTGGGGAGCAGAACAGGTGGATTTGACTGAAATACACTACTGAAGAGAACGGCGGGCAAGTCAGGAGAGGTCTGCCGCGCCATGTGGGTAGCTCCCTGGCCGGGGATCGAACTTGTGCTGCAGTGGCTGAGATAGTGTCATAGATTGCATCTTAACCACTTGCACCGCCAGGGAAGCCCTATTTCTTGACTTCTTGATAATAGTCATTGTAGCTGGTGTTAAGAGAAATCTCATTGTGGTTTGGTTTGCATTTCCCTGATGTGGAACTTGTTTTGTGTATCTGTTGGCCATCTGTATGTCTTCATTGGTGAGATGCCTACTTAGATCCTCTGCCCATTTTTTAATCTGGTTGTATGTTTATGTTGTTGAGTTGTATAAGTTGTTTATATATTAACCCCTTGTCTGACACATGGTTTGTAGATATCTTCTCCCTTCCGTTCATGGTTTGCAGATATCATCTCCCTTATTTGCCTGTTCATTTTGTGGAGACATCCACAAAAAACATCACTAAGACTGTTAAAGAGCTTTTAATCTATGTTTTCTTCTGTATATTTCATGATTTGAGTCTTAATCCATTTTGAGTTGATTTTAGTGTGTGATAGTGATCTAGTTTCATTCTTACATGTGGCTATTTTTTTTTTCTGGCACTATTTATTGAAGAGATTTTTTCTCCCTCTATTTTATGCTTTTAATGCCTTTGTCATAAATTTGTTACCTATGTTTGTATGGTTTTATTTCTGGAATCTTGATTCTGTTCCATTCATCTGTGTGCCTGATTTTGGTCCAGTAAAATAATGTTTTGATTACTGTAGCTCTCTAGTTTGAAATCCGTCAACTTGACACCTCCATTTTTGTCCTTTTTTTACTCAAGTTTATTTTGGCTATTTGTGTTCATATAAATTTCAGGATTTTTTTTTTTTAAGATTTTTTTTTATTTTATACTAGCACTGGGAGAAGAAGCGCGGGAGGGTGAGAGAACTCACCAGAGCCAGAGCGGGGAGCAGAGCAGGCAGAAGGACCGAAGTACACTGCTGAGGGGAGCAGCGAGTGGCAGGAGAGGTCTGCGCGCCATGTGGGACCCTCCTCCGGGCTGGGGAGCAGGCGGGGATTGAACCGGCGCCGCAGAGGCCGCGGGGAGCTTCGCAACCCAGCGCTCAACTGCTGTGCCACCGGGGAGGCCCGAAATTTTAGGATTTTAAAAATATGCTTCTGAGGAAGAAGGCCGAGAGGGTCTTAGTAGGCGTTAAGTTAAATCTCTATATTACTTTAAGTACAGTGGCCATTTTGACATTGATTTCTTCTGATTCAAGAGTGCAGCATGTCTTTCCATTTCTTTGTGTGTTCTCTAATTTCCTTCAACAGTGTTTTATACTTTTCAGTGTACAATTCCTTTCCTTCCTTGCTTAAATTTATTCCTATGAATTTTACACTTTTTGCTGCACTTGTGAATGGTATTGTTTTCCTTATTGCTCTTTCTGGTAGTTCATGTTGTACATAAACACAATAGATTTTTGTATGTTATGGCCTGCAACTTTATTGTTTCTAACAGTTTGTTGCTGTTGGAGTTTTTAGAGATTTCTACGTATAATACCATTTCATCTGTTTATAAGTCAGTATATAGGGCCAAGTTGTACTTCTTTTCCAATCTGGATATCTTTTATTTTTCTTGCCAAATTGCTCTGACCAGGACGTGTGAAATTATGTTAAATAACGGTGAGTTGAACATCTCCGTCTTATTCCTGATTTTAGAGGAAAACCCTCAACTTTTCCCAAATGAGATATGTTACCTATGGCTATGTTGTGTATGCCCTTTGTTATCTTTACGTATGTTCCTTCTGTGCCATTTTATTGAGTTTTTATCATAAATGCAGGCTGAATTTTATCACATGCATTTTCTGCACTTTTGACATGATCATATAATTTTTATTTTTCAATTTGTTGATTTACTGAAGCACATTGATGAATTTGTGTATGATAAACATCCCTGCATCCCTGGAATAAATCCAACTTGGTCATGGTGTATTTTTTTAATGTATTGTTGAATTCGGTTTGCTAATATTTTGCTGAGGATTCTTGACTTTGTTCATCAGAGAAATTGGCTTGCAGTTTTCATTTTTTGTGCTGTCTTTGGTTTTGTTATCAGCATTATGCTGGTCAGGTACTGCTTCTTCCTACACTTCTATTAATCTAAGCGGTAGTAGCACAAATGTGTGCAGTTTTGCTTTGTGGGCATTTATTATGATTTTTGTACTTTCCTATATTTTATTCAAATAAACATATTTAATAAAAGTTTCTTAGAAGATTTTTTTAATCTTCCCTTTTTCCATCACTGCTACTGACAGCTGGTTGCCTTAGAACTAGGCTTTACTGTTTCACAACCTGGCCTTTAATACAAGCAAACTCAATGCTGCTTAACAGTATCAAAGGAAATACTGAGTGGTTTCCTCATAGTAACATTGGGAATTTTCTATGTGAATTGGTAATAGGGGTCTTCTGGTGATTTTTGGATAGGGAGTGAGATGGTGAAAAGTACAATTTTGTATGTTTTATTTAGTAATGGCTATCCAAATGGATATCGGATGTAAAGATGTCAGTGAGGAAACAGAAGCTCAGTGTGAAAAGAAGAAATGCCTGAATTAGACTAATAAGTAAAATTATAGATGAGAAATTCAGAGACCCCAAACGTGAGATTCGCTCAGCAGTAGCTAGGGCTTGGTATGGCTGTGACAGGGGCGGCTGGATGGGCCTAGGCTCCAGGGTGATGTTAAAAGGGGGCCAGCAGGGCCCCTCTGCTCTTCCATTATGTAATGTGGGCATGGGGTTGGGGCCAGCAGACAGGCAAGGGCTGTGTCTTATGGAAGAAGCAGGGTGACTGGGAAGGTGGAAGTGGAATAGAAGCAGAAACTAGCTTAGACATAAAAATCCTGCAGAGCACAACAGCTATATATTGATATATGGGCTGTTCCAATGGTATAATGAGAAGTATAAGAGATATGAAGCTAAAGCTAGATATTCAAATCCAGAACTCCTACCATTTACTATTTGTGAGATTTTTAAAGAAACTACGTAATTTTTTCTAAACCTCAGTATTTTTCAGCTGTAAACAGTATGTAATACTAGAGTGTCATAAGGATTATTTTCTGTAAAGGAATAGCTAGGTTAATGCTAGGTATTATTATAATGTGAAAGTTGAATTATACTGTCACTTCATATATTTGCTTTTTATTTTATTCAGACTAACTGCAACATCCAAGAAGCCATGACAAAATTGCAATTTGATAGTGTCTGCATATCTGCTGGAAAAAAGTTTGAAGGCAAAGGCAGAACCAAACTAATCTGGATCAAAGAGCCTCTGCAATTATTGGGTTGTTGGAAAAGTCATGACGCATTTTTGCAACAGATGGCATGTTCGGAAGTACTAGGGTCATTTACATCTACGTTATTGCTAGTCACTTGACAGTTGGCAGTTCTAGCTTCATTCTAAAATAAATTGAGCGATTTGGTTAGTTTTGGAGATTTTACAACAAGTTGATGGAAGACCAAACTCTGCATTTTCACCATGTTTTACTGTTTTACTTCCATAACGGGAAGAACACACATCAAGCTTGTGAAAAGTTGCATAAATTTATGGGTACAGGGCCTCCCCTGGTGGTGCAGGCGGTTGAGTACAGCCTATAAAGCTGTCCGCAGCCTCTATAGCGCTGGTTCCATCCCAGCCGGCAGGCAAGTGTCCCACATGGCGTGGCAGACCTCTCCTGTCACGCCCGCTGCTCCCCTCAACAGTGTATTTTTTGTCAGTCTGCCTGTTCTGTTCCCCGCTGTCTCTGGTGAATCCTCTCACCCTCCTGCACATCTGACCTGTACCCCGGTTCTTGTATAAATAAATAAATAAATCTTTAAAAAAAAAGTTTACTGGTACAGTGCTCTACAACAGCGTCAGTGCTAGCGATGGTTCATGAGATTCCATGCTGGTGATTTTGATCTCAACAACGCTCCTTGGTCAGAGAGGTTGATGACGACAAAATAAAGGCATCGATCGAATTGAGAGATTGCAGAAACATTGAACATCCATCATTCAAGTGTTCACGACCACCTGGAAAAGCTGGGATATAGATGCAGGCTTGATTTTTGGGTTCCTCACGAACTTAAAGAAGTTCATTTGATGGCACATATAAACAGCTGCAGTAGCTCATTAAACGTGAAGAAAACAATCCTTTTTGAAGCAACTGAAAACTGGTGATGAGAAGTGGATTGTGTATAATGAGGTGCACAGTCTTGGTCCCAACTTGATAGTTCACCTCAAATGACATCAAAAGCAGTCATTCGTCAGAGGAAGACTATGCTCTCAGTGTGGTGGGATTTTAAATGTGTCATGTTTTTTTGAGTTCCTGCCAAGGAAATAAACAATCAATTCGAATGTGTAGTGTCGGCAATTGGATGGCTTGAATGAATCCATCATCCAGAAACTTCCAGAGCTTGTTAATGGTAAAGGAGTAGTGTTCCATCACAATGTGAGACCACACACAAGTTTGATCACCCATCAGAAATTACTGGAGCTTGGATGGGATGTGTTGCGGCATCCACCATACCCGCCTAAACTTGCGCCTTCACACTTCCACTTGTTTCACTCTCTTCAAAACTTGCGTGGTATAATATTCAATTCAGATGAGGCTGTAAATCAGCACCTTGTTCAGTTTTTCACTAGTAAAGATGGATCCTTCTATGAACGAGGAATTTTGAAGCTCACTGAAAGATGGCAAAAGGTTTTTGAACAAAGTGGGCAATATATCATTGATCTTTGTTCTTTTTTTTTCCCTAAAGATTTATGCATGTAAGGGCTGGGGTACAGGCCAGAGGGGTGGCGGGTGGGGGAGGTGAGAGCATTCACCAGAGACAGTGGGGAGCAGAACAGGCAGATCAACTGAAATACACTGCTAGGGGAGTACCAGGCGAGACAGGAGAGGTCTGCTGTGTCATGTGGATTAGCTCCCTGGGCAGCGATCAAACTCATGCTGCAGTGGCTGCTGATAGCTTCATAGTGCTGAGACTTCAATCCTTGTACCACCAGGGAGGCCCCTGATCTTTGTTCTTAATATAAACAAATGACATTTGAAAAGCAGAAAAAATATGTCATGACTTCCGACAACCCAGAGTTTAACAAGGTATGTCCAGGCACAAGGTGAAATATTTGGAGGATTTTAGAGGAAGCCCCCTCTCTTTGGAGTTTTTCCTTATTGTGCTGAGAATGCTTCACTGGATTTAGTCAATGGATGGTGTACTTGGATTTGTGATGTTGCTGCCTGCCTTTGGGCATTTGAACATATACTGCTCTAACATATTACTCAGGTGAAAAATCCAGCAATTTTCTGGGGCAGACATTCTGATACATACTTCCTCAAACATATGTCGGCCTCCCTCTGGCATATGATTCACTGCAATCTCCAACTTCATCTATTTGGTGATGGAAGATACTAGCAAGTCAGATGGCCTCTTGGGAGTTTCGCTTTCAAGTTCTGGATTGGCACTTTCACTTCTGCCAGATTGGACTGCTGCTGTTTGGTGGGAGAGTTTGCTGGTTATCTCTCTCTTTTTTTTTAAGATTTTTAATTTAATTTTAATTTTTTAAAAATTATTTTTAAAAAGATTTATGCATACAAGAGCTGGGGTACAGGCCAGAGGTGCAGGATTCACCAGAGACAGAGTGGGAAACAGAACAGGCAGACTGACGAAATACACTGCTGAGGAGAGCAGCAGGTGAGTCAGGAGAGGTCTGTCGTACCATGTGGGTAGCTGCCTGGCCGGCCGGGATCAAATTCATACTGTAGAGGCTTCGGATTGCTTCATAATGCTTTGCTTAACCCCTTGAGCCATCAGGGAGGCTCTGTTCTCCTTTAAGAAAATATTTGTAGCTGGGCACATGACTGGCTGAAATAGATTATCTTTTTTAGCATTCCTGCAACCTGATAGGACTATGTTATTGGGTCAATGAGATGTGAGCAGAAATTATGTGTGTAGCTTATAATCATACCCCCATCCTCTGTCCCCCCGTTTGGAACGCATGTGTTTTGTTAAGTCATCTTGGACCATGGGGCTATCAGCAGTTCCTTAGGGCAGTAATTCCCAAACTTTGCTGCACATTAGAATGACCTAGGGAACTTTAAAAAATCCTGGTGCCTAGGTTACATGGTAGGCCCACTAAGAATTATGAGAGTAGCAGGTATAGATATCAGTGTTTGAAAAAATCTCCAAGTGATTCTAATGTGTAGCAAAGTTTAGGAAGCACTGCCGGAGCGATTCCAGCATAGGACACTGGAGGGCCCACGTTGCTGGAAGCACTTCAGTCCCGGATCACCTACAAGAGGCCATCACGTGTCAGAGCAGTAGGTGTCCTGCTTGTTTAAGTCTGTTATTTGGAGTTACAGTCACTGGCCCTATCTACTGACTAACAAAGGTGAGTCACTCATTAAAACTGACTGTATTTCGTAGAATAATCTTGTTTTCATGTTGTGTTTTGCTTATTTATGCCATTCACTTATCAGGAAAAATTTTTTGAGACTCCCCCAGGAGTGTCACTTAGCATCATGTAACTGAGGCCCTTCGTGTTGCATGCATGCATATTCACTCCTGTCATTGCTGGGGGGTGTCCACTGCTGGCTCCACCGCAGTGCTCATTGCTGGGGGAATGTTTGGGTGGTTTCCAGTTTGGGGCTGTGATGAATAAAGTCATTGTTTACAACTTTTGGGATAAATACAAGTTTTTAGTTCTCTGGAGAAATACCTAGCCGTGGGCTTGCCAGGCTACATGGTAAGTGTATGTTTACTTTGTAAGAAACTGCTCCACTGCTCTGAAGTGTCTGTGACCTTTGGATTCCTTTCAGCAGAGTGTGGCAGTTCTAGTGGCTTAGCATCTGGGCCAGCACTTGGTATTGTCCGTTTCCTTTTTGTTTTTTGTTGTTCTGTGTTGTGTGCTAAGTTACAATTCATATAGTTTCTTTGATGAAGTGTCAGTTCATTTCTTCATTTGCAGGTCATGCTTTTGGTATAGTCTCTAAGAAATCTTTATCTAATTTTAGTAGGATCTAGTTTTGAAAGTATTATTTCATGCACAAATGTTGCATCAACAATATCACAATGATGAAACAGGAGTGGTGGAACAGGCTATAGGATGCAGGATGCTGCTCAAGAGCAAGGTCCTGGTCTTTTCATTGACAGAGAAGGGTGGGTCAAACTGAACACTGGATTTTGGGCTTTAGGGAGGGGGAGTCCAATGATACACACCTGACTCCCACCCATGGCTCCAATCTTATTAACAAGGCTCTCCTGGTCATACCTCAGATGTGTATCTTTTGTCCTAGTGCAATCAAGTGTTCTGCCCTTGTCTAACTTGAAAGGAGCCCTGTATACCCACACACACAAGAAAATTTTACATAGATAAACATCCACCCCCCCCATCACCCTCTTACTCTCCTGTGAGCCAGGTCATTTGCTTGTATGTAGTCATTAGTGTCTACTGTCATAAATACAGAATTTAAGACAGAGTGGGAGAAAAGATTTGAAAATCAAATCATGTATCTGATAAAGGACTTGTATCTAGAATTTATAAATGAACGCTTACAACTCAACAATAAGAAATAAGCCGATTTAAAAATGAACAAAAGACTTCACCCACGAAGAGATATAGGTGCCAAATAACTATATGAATGATTCTCATTCAATGATTTCCCATTATTAGGAAAAGACATAAAAAGTGCTCTGATATACCATTATGCACTTAACAGAAGGCAAAAATAAAAAAAGAGGGTAATACCAAGTGCTGACTCAGCAACAGGACCCCTCATTCACTGCTGGTACGATATGAGATGGCACAGTCAGACATAAATGCAGAATGGTGTCACTAATATGTGGAATATAAAGTAGCTAATAGATAAATATAAGCTGAAAAACTAACCCTTGAGAGCTGACTACAGAACTGACACAACAGGCGGGGAGAGGCTGGGGCAGGAAGAGAAAGAGGGAAAGAAGCACAATGGTCTGTGGTGGTAGAATGTGGGTGAGTTGGTGGATGCAGCATGGTGGTAACACCTGATGGGGGTACCTTATATTCCTGCTGAAAAAATAAATTTCAAAAAATGGCAGTGTCACTAGGGGAGATATTGGACAGTTTAATGTTTGTTTTTTTTTAATAGAGGCATTTATTTATTTGTTTGTTTGTTTGCTTGTTTATACATGCACTGGGTACAGTCAGAAGTGCGGGAGGGTGAGAGAATTCACCAGAGCCAGAGCGGGGAGCTGAGCAGGCAGAAGGACCGAAGTACACTGCTGAGGGGAGCAGCGGGCGGCAGGAGAGGTCTGCGCGCCATGTGGGACCCTCCTCCAGTGGCCGGGGAGCAGGCGGGGATCGAACCGGCGCCGCAGAGGCCGCGGGCACCTTCGCAACCCAGCGCTCAACCGCTGCGCCACCGGGGAGGCCCTTAATGTTTTTTTAAGATTTATGCATACAAGAACTGCAAGTATGTTGGGGGGGGTGTGTGGTGTGGGTGTGGGTGTGAAGGATTCACCAGACACAGAGTGGGGAGCAGAACAGGTGGATCTACTGAAATACACTGATGAGGGGAGCAGTGGGCAACACAGGAGTGGGGTGTGTGTGTGCGCGTGCGCGTGCGTGTGTGTGTGTGTGTGTGTGTGTGTGTGTGTGTGTGTGTAGGGATTCACCAGAGACAGAGTGGGGAGCAGAACAGGCAGATCTACTGAAATACACTGATGAGGGGAGCAGGGGGCAACACAGGAGTGGTCTGCCAGGCTATCTGTGAGTTAGTTCCCTGGCCAGGGATCTAACTTGGGCCACAGTGACTGGCGACAGTACTAAGACTTTAACCCCTGCGCCACCAGGGTGGCCTTTGACAGTTTCTTTAAAAACCAAACACAGACTGAGCATACAACCTGGTGATCACTGTCCTATTTACCCAACTAATTTGAAAACTTAGATTTGTAAAAAAACAAAAAAGCCTGCATGGAAGTAAATGCTTATAGCAGAACACACGTTAAGTGTGAGCTGCCCATAGTGCCTTCCTTCCAAAGGCAACAGCAACTAAATAAATGAAAAGTAGAAGTGGGTATTTGTACAGTTGATGTGTGAAGGGAGAACAGCACTTAACCGCTGTGGTCTTTTTTCCCCCCAAACCCATCATCCATCACAGAAGACCTCAAACCGAGGCCATTATTCCTGAGCAGCTCAGTGCCATCAAAGCAGGAAAGTCTGAGAAACCGTCAGCCAGAGGCGCCTTAGGCACACATGGTCGGGGCTTCCTGTGGTGTCCTGGGTGGGATGTCGGAACATAACGAGGATATTAGAAAGAATTAATGAAACCCAAATAAAGTGCGGAGTTTAGCATAAGTGCATCAGTATTGCTTCCTTAACTGTACAAATGACTGTAGTCATCTGAGATGTTAGCAGCTTGGAAATGATGTGGGCTATATAGAAACTACTTTTACCATTGCAACTCTTCTGTAAATCTAACAGTATTTATAAACATGCTATTCTAAAAAATAGCCCTCAAAAAAGTTACAGGTTAGAAGGAAAAAATGAGGCTTCAATTTTCCCAAATACTGCTATCAAGGGACTGGAGAGAGGGGTCCTGGGGAGAAAAGCTGGAAACCTCACACCCAGGGCAGGCTCCGGAGTCTCCTCTCCTCTGAGCCTTGCTTCCTCACAGAGCATCTCACCCCCAGGACACCGCCCTCCAGGACCCCCAACTCTGCCCACCTCAGCCCCGGGCCCGTCCTGGCGGCTCCACCAGAATCCGGAACAGCGCGGCAGCGCCCCCGTGTGGCCACAGGGCTGAGCACAGGAGCCCAGAGCTGCCCTTTCTCCTGCTCAGCCAGGCCCTCCCCAGGCTCCCTGGGCCCCCACCGGCAGGACAGGTCCACTGTCATGTTAGGGGTCCTTAAACTTCCAAGTGAGTGAGTATGTGTACAGGCCTCAGGGAAGAGCCAGGTGTCCAGGTCGTAACAGCTGCCTCCCAGGTTCTGGGTGGGTCCCCACAACAGTTTCCCTTAATCTCTTTGGCTGGAACATTGGACTCCAGAGTTGCTGTTACTTGTTCCTGCCTCCAGGGATGAAGTGCTTCCTCCTGGGAGTCAACTCTAAATTCACCATCCCTAGGGTGAGGGGAGGGGCTGAATAATAGAATCTTAGGTTCTATTCTCGACTTTGAGTCTTTATGAGCATCTGGGTGCTCCTGATCATCACTCCTGAGCTCACTGAAGTGGGGGCTCCCTGGTCTCCATGCCTTCACATGTTAACAGTCAGCTCTGCGAGCCTCTGCTTATATGGCCCAACATGGGAGGGGGGGGGCAGAGCTTGGTTCTGCTCCTTTCTCTTTAGTCATCACTCTCTAGGGGACCATTCCATACTGAAGACTTAAAATATTATTTACATCACATCACCTCCCAGATCTATTTCCAGCTCAGACATTTCACCTGTGCTCTAGACTTGTTTGTCCAATTGCCACCATCATTGTATTTCCATAAATCTCAGCTTCAACTTTCCTAAATTGAATATCTAGGATGCCATTTCCTCAGATATGGCTCTTCTGGAGGCTTCCCCATGTCACTGCAGGCTCCAGCTCTGCCTGCATATTATGAAATACTGGGTGTCATCTTTGACCCCTTTCTTACAACCCAGCCGTAGGAAACACTGTAAAGTCCATTTCTAAATATACAGAGATCCAATCACTTCCTATTGTTTTCCTGCTCACCTCCCCCTGCCCCAACAAAGGCACCAACCTGTCTGTCCTGGAGCCTGCACTGGTTTCTCACATTTATCTTTCCACCTCTCACCCTTGGATTCTGCAGAGCAGCCAGACAGTCTTCTAAAGAGAAGTCCCACATCTCTGTTCAGAAAGGTCTTGTCAACCCACATTTTACTCAGAAAGTTAAGCCCTCTCAACATCCTGAAGGCCTGAATGATCTGGGTGCACACAGAACTCATCTCAGTAGCCCTCTGCTCCAGCCAGCCAGGCAGCCTCCTTGCTCATCTCAGCCACACAGGCTCATTCCTGCCTCATACATCTGCACTGAAGGTTGTCCTGCCTGGACAGAACTTCCCTGGACATCCTTGTGGGCAACATGTCCATCAAACTTTTTCTCAAAGGTCACCTTAGTGAGGCCCACACTGACCATGCTGGGAAGACAGCCATCCTGTCCCCACACACTGACTCTGGGTCATCTTCCTTCACCCCTTTCCCACTTGTAGCCAGACATGTCCCTTATTTACTGTCACAGTCTCCAGTGTCCCCTTCCCACTAGGACACATTCTCACCAGGCCAGCAAGTTGGGCCTATTTTTAGTTCATTGAGTTTTCCTAGATGCAAAAATAGCCTGTTACTCATATGCCACACACAACAATTATCAGTTCATGAATGATCAGTGTAGAGCACCTCCATGTTCTAGAGACAGTGTCTTTAAAAACGTGGCCTTAGGTTACATGCTACACACACCTCCACTCACAGTGACAGCAGTGCCCCCCACCTCCCGCTGCTGTCCCAAGTGCTGCACCCTCCCCAATCAACCCTCCTGCACACCCCAGCACAAGAGCACATTTATCACTTCAGAAAAGGGGGTCCTAAGTTTATGGGTACCATTTTTCAGCCACTGTGAATGTTCCTATGATGCTACTTTATCAAACCCTGGGTTTGGATCAAAGCAGCAGTGGGGTTGCTACACTTCAGGGCAGGGCTAGAGGGAGAACCTACAGAAAAAACTAGAAATGCAACATGAGCTTGTCTAAGATGAGAAACTATCTAATCTTATCCTCCACTAATATCAGAATTTGGTCTTTTAAAAAGATGTAGAAAAGAGGGCCTCCCTGGTGGAGCAGGAGTTAAAGACAGCACTATCAAGCTATCAACAGCCACTGTAAGCACGAGTTCTATCTGGCCAGAACAGTGTTCTAGAATCTGGCCAGGGAGCTGACCCACATGGCACAGCAGACCTCTCCTGCCTTGCCTGCTGCACCCCTCAGCCGTGTGTTTCAGTAGATCTACCTGTTCTGCTCCCTTTGTCTCTGGTGAATCCTCTCACTCCCCTGCACCGCTGGCTTACACTCCAGTTCTTGTATGCATAAATAAATCTTTAAAGAAAAAGATCTGGAAAAGACAGAAATAATCCAGAAAACGGTCCTGAAATGAGGCCAAAATCTAATGAGTCTGAAAATTAGTCTCTAACACCAAACACTACTGTGAGCAGGGGCTGCCCTGAGCTTTGTGGGAACAATGACAGATGCCTTAGGCACTGTCAGAGACAGGGACACCCCGAGGACATGGCGCCTGGTGTCTAAACATGAAAATGAACAGGCATGAAGCAATAAAAACCAAAGAAGCAAAGTGTAAACATGCAAATTGTGAAGACTGAGGGCCCAGCCCTGATGTGAGCTTAGGCTGACCTGGCGATGCATGTTCCTGGAGACAGGACAGGCCCAGGTCTTGTCTGAGTCCCTGTGATCAAAGGTCCTGCTAGGACAGGTGCTACTGAAGGACAAGGACAAAGGAGCACAGAGATGACCAGTTTTGAACAGTGACCACAGAAAGCCCACAATGCACTGAGCACTGACTAGACACATCCCCCTCGGCTCCTCACAGTCTCTCCTGCCCCTACCTGCACAGACTCAGCACAGTAAACATGGATTCTAGAACCGATTTACTAAGAACCTTTTTTGGTTACCCATCAAACCAGCATGACAAGATTAGAAAAAATAATTTCAAACCTGGATTATTATTTCATCAGGGAAGTAGATGTTATTCTTCAGGAAAAACACAAAGATGAGTAGAGAAAGCCTCGGCCGCCTCTGCTGGAGCAGGAAAGTCATCAGGGAGAGACACAGGTGAGTGTCGGGAGGGGCCTGGTGGGCAGGGCCAGGCCAATCTCCTTACCTCCCCACATTATGCTTATGTGACCCCAGATACATGAGGATGCCCTCTGCAACAAGAGAGACCGGAGGGATCTTGAAGTCACAAAGTGGGGGTGAGAAGGCTCACACTGTGAAGGAAAATAATCAGGAACAAAGTCAGGGAATCATGTAAGTGTCGACATTCTCTATAGTCCACCGCATCCTCAGCATGTCCCCCTGACAACTTCCCCATAACCTGGTCCCATCTTCTCAGCCCCAGTCCCTCCCACTGCAGGCCTCCAGGGTCTCACCTTTAGCAGCTGTGACATCAGAGTTCTGGGCACTGTTGCTGCCTGGGGGAGAACAAAACAGAACCTGGTTAGAGCCACAGAGATGAGACCACAGGAGGATTGATGTGGGTGACTCCCCCAGGGGCTCCATCTACACTGTCCCCAGGGGCTCAGGGACCAAACCCCTGATCCACACTTACCTGCAGACTGAGTGTAGCTTCCTCCTTTTCACCTTTGGGAAGAAACTCCATGTGAGACCAGAGATGAGTCAGGCCATGAAGTCCTAAAGGAAGCCCTGAATCCTGGACCACAGGGGAGTTTCCAGAACTGTGACTGAAGACCAAGAGCAGGACCAGGAGATATGAAGAAAGGAGTCTGACAATCGCAGGGAGTCAGGTCCCATCACCAAAATTATGAAGGTGAACAATTTGTGATTTACTTTCCTAAGTGTTTTACAAAGGAGAGCAGGGATAGCAATCAGCTTCACACTGGGCAACACATACATACATGGATGGTATTTTCCACTAACCAGGCAGGGAAAATTCTCCCCGGGACTTGAAAGCCCCCAGTGGACAAGATCCCCCACTCCCTTCCCCACCTGAACTTCTTCCTCCACATCACAGCTGCAGCCATTGCAGCTCCCGTGAGCACAGCTCCAAGGACAACCAGGCCAGCAATGATGCCAATGGTGGGGACAGAACACTGAGGAGGTGCATAGGGAAAGGAAGGGGAGACTCTGAACCCAGTTCTCCAACCTGACTCTTTGAAGTTCTCCAGAAGGGATCCTGAGCAGAGCCTCTGTGCCCACGTCCCCATCTCAGGACTCGGGCTCCAGCAGCCCCTCATGCTGCACACGGCACGTGTATCTCTGCTCCTCTCCAGAAGGCACCTCCACAGCTGCCCACTCCTGGAAGGTTCCTTCCCCCCCCCAGACCTGGTCTCCACCAGCTCTGTGACAGGAGTCAAGTGAGCCAGGGGGGAGGTAGGAGGCCTGCAGTCCCTCTTAGCTGCTGCGCACTGCAGCTTCTTTCCATTCACCAGGTGTCTGCGCAGCAACTCCACGCACGTTCCTCCAGGTAGTTCCTGACGCGCTTCCGCCGCCTCTCCGGCCGCCTCCCACTCGCGCCGGGTGATCTCAGCGGCCGTGTCCGCCGCGGTCCAGGAGCGCAGGTCCCCGTTCAGGGCCCTGTAATCGGAGCCATCGTAGGCGACCTGACTGTACCCGCGGAGGAGGCGCCCGTCGGGCCCCACGTCGCAGCCAGACATCCTCTGGAGGGTGTGAGACCCACCCCACGATCACCGCCTCCCCCCTTCCCCGGTGCCCCGCCCCAAACCGAAACCGAACCTGAAACCGCAGGAAAGAAAGTCCCGCGGGCTCTTTCTGGGTCAAGGGTCTGGGCGGATCCACCAGACTTAGCGAGACACAAGGACGGACCCCGAGTCTGGGGTGGGGTCGTGAGCGCCCCGGGCCCGCCCCGCTCACCGGCCGCGCTCTGGTTGTAGCAGCCGCGCAGGGCGCGCAGGTTCCCTCGGCTCAACTGTGCCTTGTAGTTCAAGGTCCGCGTCGCCCGCTCCCAGTGCTCCGGCCCCTCCCGCCCCCACCCCGGGGCGCCCGCGGCTCCGCACTCTGGCCCGGGGAGTCGCTGTCGAACTGCCCGAACTGCGTGTCGTCCACGTACCCCACGGCGATGAAGCGGGGCTCCCCGGGGCCGGGCCGGGACATTGTGGTGTAGAAAGTCCTCAGGGAGTGGGAGCCTGGGGGCGGGAGGGGGACCCGGGCTGGGGAGACGGGGCGGGAGGGGAGGGGCGAGGGGCTCCCCAGAGAGTTAAGGGGCGGCGGGACGAGAAGGGCGGGGAATCTGGGGGAAAGTAGAGGCGGGGGTTAGAGGGACAGGGAGGGGCCCAGGGACCTCAACAGGGTTACTGGCGGCTGATCGCGCCTTTCCCTGACCCGGTCCGGGATCTCCTTGCCCCACCTCCAGAGCTACGGTTTCCCTCCAGCGCCCCACTCACCGGCCTAGGTGTCCTTCAGGATCAGGGTCCCCAGGAGCAGCAGCAGCAGGAGGAGTGGGGGCTTCGTGCTCGGCATCTACCGGGGCTGGGGGGACTCTGAGACTAGCGGGCTGGTGGGAGCCCGGAGACGCGGATTGGGCTGCTCTGGAAACCCCCCGGCCATGGGGAGCGAGAGCTGGGCTTGAATCTCCAGTGTCCGGAAGGAGAACCCCACACAGGCTATGAGAGAAAGATGGGGAACCCCCAACTGTAACCTTCTGGCCCCAGACATAGCCCTGGGCTCGGAGACCCCGAGAGCCACACCCTGGGGCTCTGCCCGCCCCTCCTCTCCTGCTTCATCACCCCGTCACACGGGCTGCAGAGTCCAGGCCCAGGACTGAAACACCAATTCTCAAACATTTTCATTTCAGGATGGCTGTATTCCTACACATTAGCAAGGACCCCAGTATAAGTTTATAAGGTTATATTGTAGCTATCAATATTTACCACACAAGGAATAAAAACATTTTAAAGATTTTTTACATCATTTAGAATAATATTACTAACCCACTGCAGGTAAACAGTGTTTTAAAGAAAAATAGCTATATCTGAAACTAATCAGGTTAATGAAAGAGTGTAAAATTTTACATTTTATATTTTTGCAAGTGTTGTTTCTGTCTCATGAGAAGAACATTGGATTGCCATATTTTCTTTTGCATTTAGTCTGTTGTTTTGATTGGTCAATGAAAAAATATTTGGTCCTCCAGAAATATGTAGGAATAGCACTTTAATACCCTTTTCAGATAATTGTTAGCATTCAGCTTTGTTACTGATTGAGGGTAGCAAGGGGCACTAAAAGTGGCCAAAGACACTGCCCAAATAGATTTAAAAAAATTTTTTTTTTAAGATTTATTTATTTATTTATACAAGCACTGGGTACAGTCAGAAGCACCCGAGGGTGAGAGAATTCACCAGAGCCAGAGCAGGGGACAGAACAGGCAGACTGACGAAATACACTGCTGAGGGGAGCAGTGGGTGTGGCAGGAGAGGTCTGTGGCGCCATGTAGGACCCTCACCATCAGCCAGGGATTGAACCCACGCTGCTAAGGCCTCGCACCCCAGCGCACAACCGCTTTGCCACCAGGGAGGCCCAGCCCAAATAGATTATCAGTCACTGAGTTCTTCACCCATGAGCACAATTGCAAGACTACTCAGGTTCAGAGAACAATGATGGGACTTATTTAACAAGCCAGGGGAAAACAGAGTTACTAAGGCCAAAAATGACCATTTGTCTCACCTGAAGCAGTATCCAGTGTTTTAAAGTCCTAAACACAAACACTGCAACAGTGGCCTCTTCCCGCCACTGTCGACCTGGAGCTGGCAGGCAGACTATATATAGGCCAGGTTCCAACTCAGGCAACAGGAGATGCTCCCTGGAGTTACTGAGATGCCCCAAAGTGGCACCAGATAAGAGGCACTCAAAACAGCAGCTGCAGCTGCAGCGGCCAATGACCCTCACAGTTCCGTGAGGCGCCTGCTTCAGGACTTTGCCTTCTCTGCCAGGCACAGAATCGCTGAAGATGTGAAAATGCAGAATCCAAATGCTGAATGCTGGGGGCTGCCGCTGCAGTCCCTTATATTGCTTATCAGAGTCTCCTCCCCAAATGTGATACTTTGTTCCCATTTTCCCCAGCGCTATCCTTCCTCACCAGCAACCCCACTTCAGGGGGCAACATCTGTAACAGTGTTTGTCTTCAACCACTGGTTACATTACCACTTTTATAAAAAATGGAAACTATTCCTGCAGTAGTTATTCAAATGTTATTTGCAATGTAAAATCTGAAATGCTATCATTGAATATTTTCTATTGTTACATTAATTCCATAGGCCTCTCTTACATATTAATGTATCTTCAATAAGATATGAATTTTAAAAATAATGCATTGCTTCACTAGGTTATATATGATCACTAGTGTTAATTTTTCTAGAATCAAACTTTAAAAATCATGCTTGTTTTATGTTTCAAAGATTCCAAAAGAAAAGTTAGTGGAAGTTGTCAAGTTTATAGTAATTTTCCATTATCTGTTTTCCCCCCAGAGTTTGCATGTTATAAGACAATTAATTACTCTTAGTGGCCAACTGTTAGCAGATTTTCTTTTTTCTTTCTTTTTTTTTTTAAATATTTAATTTATTTATACAAGCACTGGGCACAGTCAGAAGTACGGGAGGGTGAGAGAACTCACCAGAGCCAGAGCGGGGAGCAGAACAGGCAGAGTGACAGAATACACTGCTGAGGGGAGCAGCTGGGGGCAGGAGAGGTCTGTGCGCCATGTGGAACCCTTGCCTGGCAGCTGGGATCAGGGGATCGAAGAACAGGCATTGCAGAGGCCATGGGCAGCCCTGCAGCCCAGCGCTCAACCTCTGCGCCACCTGGGAGGGGGGCGGACCCAGTAGATTTTCTTAAAGGGACTGGCATGTTCATTTCCTAGAAAGTGCGTACAAGTTCACCAGATGTACATAACAGTGTTTTATTTTTTGTCATCCATTCCTTCAAGTAAAGATGTATCCTTAAAAGAAAAAATAGTCTCACTTCATACAAATTAGTTTCCTTGGGACATGGTACTTTGGATTGTGGCAGAAATGACTTACAGGGCCTCCCAGGTGGTGCAGTGTAGCGGTTGAGCACTGGATTGTGAAGCTGCCCGCAGCCTCTGCAGCACCGGTTCCATCCCCAGCCACCGGTGAGGGCCCCGCATGGCGCACAGACCTCTCCTGCCACACTGGCTGCTCCCCTCAGCAGTGTATTTCATCAGTCTGCCTGTTCCATTCCCCACTCTGGCTCTGGTGAATTCTCCCACCCTCCCACGCTTCTGACTGTACCCACTGCTTGTACAAATAAATAAATAAATCTTAAAAAAAATCCAACTGCTATCAACTCTTAAAAAAAAAAGTGACTTACATGTGCTCTATGTCATCAGAAACTGGGTTTACTTTGTGTCCAGATTCTTTCTCTCAGGCTTGAGGAGATGCTCCCTGCTTTCCTGAGCCTCCCTGGCCAGGACCCCACAGCCCTTCATGCTGGACAGGGTGGTCTCTGTCCACGTCCTGCTCCCTCCCTCTTGCTACCCCCTGTGCAGCCCTTCTCCTCTGGGCGCAGATGCTGGACCTGCCTGGGGAAGGTTGACAGTGATGATGGGTCATCACCAAAGTTGTGGCTTCATTCCAGTCAATATTTGCTGTTTCTCATTGTTAACAAGAGCTGACAGTGTTTTTTATTCTCTTGGTCTGAAAATGCTTTCCTCCTCTGATGACTGAGAGGTATTCTCAGTTTTGTTTAAATGATGGCCCATTTTTTTAGATTTATTTATTTATTTATGCATACAAGAATTGGGGTACAGGCCAGAGGTGTGGGGGAGGGGAGTGAGAGGATTCACCAGAGATAGAGTACGGAACAGAACAGCAGATCTACTGAAATACACTGCTGAGGGGATCAGCAGGAGAGACAGGAGAGGTCTGCTGTGCCATGTGGGTAGCTCCCTGACGGCCGGGAATCAAACTTGTGTTGCAGAGGCTGCGGATAGCTTCATGTGCTGTGCTTAACCCCTTGCACCACCAGGGTGGCCCTGATGGTCCATTTCTGATGATGAAATTAAATCATCAGAAATTAAATGTGATCTGAAAAAAAGAATGCAGACATGCACACTTGCTGCAGGAGGTCTTGTTGCCCCAGCCAGATAGAATACTGACAAGCAGCTAAGAGAAAGGGCCTCACACCGTGGGGCTGAAGATCTGGCATCCCTTTGCTTTTTGTTCTTGGTCATAGAGAGAGAGAAAAATTTATCAGAAAGTATATTAGGCAATAAATTATATGTATCAGCATACTGTAAGTAAATAGCATGGAAAATTGTCTGTTTAGAAATTAGTTGTTGGGCAGTTTGGCCCACTTGACAATGGGAGATGGTTTGTTGAACATGCCTGACAAGCAATTCAGCACAACAATTGTAGTAGGTCCTTCTATTTTGTTTTCTCTTGAAGTTTCTTGGGAAAGTTTTTAATATGAAGCTATTTGAGTTAAGGAATTTCTAGGTAGAAAAAGTTCTGATAGCTGAACTGCAGCTGGTCTCCGGCTGAAGGTCATGTGAATAGAATAGTCCTTTGATGCTTAGGCTTTAGCTGATAGGGATGCACTGGCGGTTATTCACTGTTTTAAATAATTGTCTGAATGAAAAAATAAGTAGCTTTAATGTTAGGTTTGGTTTATTATCTGTTAACCTTGAAAGCTGCTGCACCCCCCCCTGCAGTGACCCTCAGGGCTAATGGCTGTTGCCATGGTCCCTGAGGTCCGGCGTGGGCAAGGAACCATGCGCGCAGGGGGAGAACAGCAAACTCCCTAAGATGCAGAGAAACTGAATGCCTGCCAAGAAATAATGACCATCAAAAGCGGCCACAAAGATGATTAAAAGAAATGCTGACCACCTGGAACCTTATCTCGCTTTCTCAAGGCCCACAAACTTTATTCTGCTACAACTGTCTTTCTAAAATCTTTCCTTTTTCTGGTCATTGATTGCTAATTAAAAAACATACATAATTTAATAATTAGGCTAATGCAAATGAAACATTACTAAACACTGCGTTATAATAGAATTGTTAGTTTAATAATCTTTCTATTATGTGCTTAACTTTAGTACCTTTGATATTAACTGCATTATAAAATAAATTCACCCATGACAATTAATTATGAGTAAAAATGATAGTTAGTGCAACTAGAAAATAATTATATAAAACAGTAGAAAGAATTTATAGCCTGTCCAATTAGGAATGAGGCTAGGTCCAGATGTAACTTCGAACATAAATCACTGCCCTGTCAATTAAGCTAAGTCTATGAGCAAACTGATCTCTTTGATGTTCACTGTTCCTATGCTTTTGGAAAAACATATATATACTGACCACTAGCTTAATAAAAGCGCACTCAGATTTACACTCTCTCTTGAAGTGTGTCTGTTTGTCATTTCTTTAGCCGAATCCCTGACCACCCTGCGCAGTCTCTCAACCCTGAGACGGCCTCATCGTCTACTGCTGTGCTGGTCTGCGGCAAAAGCTGCTGTCTAGCTGAGACCTGTAGGGGCCAGTAGTCTATGGGAAACATACTAATTGTTTTTGCTTTACACATGATAATGTATTTCCTTATTATTATTACTAATAATGAATAAAAAAAGACCTGCTGAGTCTCTCGGCAGAAGATACTAGCACCTCACCAAGTGTCAGTGTCTCCTCATTCTACCTCATTTCCCTCCCCCTCAGCCCTTAAGTTTCAGATCTTTCGTTTTCTCCGACGCCGTCTCATCCTTTCAGGAACCCTGACACGACGTTTTGCCGGAGGCTGGTCCCCGGCACACACTGAGATCATCAAAATTATAATATTATTATGTTGGAAAGATGAGGTTGGGTAAAAGGAGAGCCAAATCACTAAAGATGAGAAATAAAAGTAAAAAACCAAAGAATTAGAATGAGATTTGCAGGCACAGATGTAACAACTAGTGAATCAGTTAAAAGAAATAAAACAGCTTGTCACTGAGATTCAGGGAAGTGGAGACCATGGAAGATAGAGACCTAACAAGTCTTGTAGAGGTGTGGACTTTTAAAACTATGTGCATATGTTTACTTGCAAAAATAAAATGACAGTCCGGTAGGTGAGAGAAGGGACTCAGTGAGGATCTGCTACCTGAGGAGTGTCATTGACACAGGGCAGTAGAGGAGGAAGACATGGTTCCAGTGGTAGATTTTATGGGAGGGGTTCATGTTAGTTTAATTGTATATATTTTTTGACTGGAGATACAACAGCAGGTGTGTGTGGAGGAAAGGATGAACCACAAGTGAGAGGGAAATTGATGACTCAGGGGACAGAGGGGCCTGATCCTGTCCCAAGCTGAGGGGTGACCTTAGACAGGAAGGGACCTTCTACTATCACTGGGGTGAGGGCAGAGGATCCAGGTGCAGGTGTGGGGATGATGGTGCCATTCTCACCTGAGTGCTTCATACTTTATGAATGAAAAAAGAAATCAGCTCATCAACTTAGACTGGAGAGTGGGGAGGAGGGCTGAGCAGGGGGAGGAAGTGAGAAATAGCCGTCTCAGGAGGGGTGAGAGTGAGCTGAACCGGGAAAGGGCATCTGGAGATTGCAGGGCTGAGGCCACTGGGCTCTGTGCTTGAGAGAGAGAGAGAGAGAGAGTTCGCCACACTCAGGCAGCAGAGGATATGCAATAGGCTAGGAGAAATGTAACCAGTGTGTGGATTATTTTCACTTTATCATTTGTAACATTTTTATTTTGATAGGTTACGACCCAGATGTGACTCACTCTCTTCAGCTCACAAGGGGCTTTACCTTGGGGTCCTGGTGCTTGTTCCTGCTGCTGAAACTGTGCCCCAATATCCTTCCTGGATTTTACCGTGGAGGGAGATTGCCTTAAGGAGAAGGGTCAGAAACCTACCCTCAGTGACCCAGCCTTTAAGTGGCCCGATTAGGCTTCCAGATCATAAAGTTGTTTTTTTTTTTTTAAAAAAAGATTTATTTATTCATGCATACAAGAACCG